GAACTGAATAAGAGCCAAGCATAAAAACGAACAATGTAAGTGTCTAGATGGAGTACCAGTGAATGAAGTGGATGAAGAAGGGCAGGAGACAAAGGAAGAGGCAGTGGAGGTGAAAGTTGGAGCTGGAGAAGTTGCAGAAACCATGGTTGAGCTGGCCATTAAGAAGCAATCAGAAGGTCCTAGCACAGAATGGTAGGTATGAGGGAAATCCTCCATGGAAGTAAGAAGATGGGGGAATGAACATACAATAACCTGTCGGACCAATCCTGGTCAAAGCATCAACAGCCCTAGCTAGAGGAGGAGGTACCAGATACCAAGTAGAGGTAATGGGATGTTAAGATATGCAGTAAAGGGATCTATGTGGGGAGAATCCCATGGAAGACAAAGCCACTGGAAAACAAAAGAATTGAGAGACCACTTTGATTGATAGAATGAGTTGGAATGAGAAAAACAAACTGCAATCTATGCAAGAGAATCCGGAACATGACATGCAAGGATATGAATACTGTGCCAGGGGGCCCAAAAGAGCAAATCTAATATGTGAAAAGAAAGGAAGTACAAACAGGTGCCATCCACAGGAGCAATGTGCCCAAAGAGGGACAAGAGAAGAAAAGGAACAGACCATAAAACCCTATTAATAACGGAAAGGAAAACAAACAGCAGTATCACAACATACTAACCCAAAAGCAAAAAGGGAATGAACTGAAGATGGCAAAAACCCAACATGAAGGGAAGAAAGAGAAGGTATCCCTTGAGAAACCCAAAATGTAAACAGAACACTGAATAATTGTTTGTTTTGAATTGTGCACAAAGCTACACAAGGGCTATCTGCACTAGCTGTCCCTAATTTAGCAGTGTAAGATTAGAGAGAAGGCAGCTAGTCATCACCACCCACCTCCAACTCTTGGGCTACTCTTTTACCAAAAAATAGTGGGATTGACCATCACATTATAACACTCCCATGGCTGAAAGGGCGAGCATGTTTGGTGGGACAGGGATTCAGACCTGTGACCCCCAGATTGCAAATCAAGCTCCCTAACCACCTGGCCCAAACACTAAATAAAGGAAAACATGAAACATTAAAGGTATGAGCAATGAAAGGTGAAAAAACAATGCTGGAAGAAATCTGCCTGAAGTGAAACAAAGGTAAAATTGGAAGCCTGTAGAAGGGAAGACTTGAAAGTACCCAACTCAAAATAGATAAAAGGAACAGCACAGAAAACATGAAGATGATATTCTGCAAAATGTGTCTGAAAATCTTGATACAGCAACAGAAGTATGGAAGATATTCCATAATAAGGTCAGGGATAACTGACAATTTTAGGATGTTGGAAAATGGGTTCAGCCATTAGATGGGGGAGGTGAGTAATAGTAGAGGAAGATATGGCAGACCCCGGTTCCCATGGATCAACACATGTATTTAAATTACTGGTATGAAGGGGAAATTATAAAACAAATTAAATTAATGGTAAGAAGTATAAAGTGGAGATTAAATGAAAGTAACTGTAAAAAAAGTACTCAAAGTAGTGAAATGAGAAGTGATAGTTCGGTAGAGGGGCATAGATGGAGTCACATGCATCACATGAGTGTACTATGCTCCTATTGGTGGAGAGGTGATGTATAATGATTTACACATGAGACAAGTTGGAATCATTTGATTCCAATAGGGGGGAGCAGAAACTTGTTGCATATATAAGAAAAAGTTTGCATATAGGGGGCAGCAATGAAAGAGAATAGTTAATCTTGTGAGAGGAGGGAAGTACTGTATTGGAAGATTCATTGCTGGATCTGCCCCTAACACTAGATATATTTGTGCTTGCCAAACCTAAATTGACCTGATAGACTGGAGGAAAGACAGCTATCAACAGAACTAATTCCAAACTCAACTCTTGGACTACTCTAATTGAATAGAGGGGTTTCATTGTCACTCTGATATTAATAATAAAGAATGTGAAAAATGTGAAAACAGGGAACAACATCTGATAGCAAATATATATTTTTTTTCAACCAGTACACGTACCAGCAAACAATTGATGCATACTGGCAAACTTGTTAAAAGTCATACATCTGCCGGTGCTGTCTCAACATGTTCAGACACACATTCTCTTGCCCTTGACCTTGTTAAAAATGTCTCTCTTGCACCCTCCCCCACCACCACTTTCTTTTAGCAGTGAGATTACGCAAATCAGTTCTCAGTTCGAGTTCAGTGACGTGACATGTTGTGCATTGTACCTTTGAAGTTTAGTTTGATTTCATGTTTTACCCATTATTGCATACTTAACCATTATAAGCTGTAAAATAACACATATTTCTCAGCTCCTAAGAAAATCTAATTGATTGAAAACGTGTGTGAAAAACGTTACAGGAAATGAAAAAGAAACAAAAAGAGAAACAGTGACAGAAATGAAAAAGTGATAGAAGTAAAAAAAGTGACAGAAAAAGAAGTGATGGGAAACAAAAAAATGGCAGATCTGCCTGATTGCTGGACTTTAAAACAAAAAAAGGAATTTTGCCAAAAAAAACGACTGGCTGATTGTGAAAAATAAAAAACTTGGTGGTAAAACATGCAAAAAACTAGGAACTTTTGGACCTGAAATAACCAATCAAGGTATGAATATATCAAGAGAGTGGATAAATATTCAAGTGTCTTATTTTGGTGAAAATAAAAAAAGAGCTCCTTTGCATAAAAAAATTTATGATCATAAAAACAGTTCATCTCATAAGGTCACCAAAAAAGTAGCAACCACTGCTCAAGAAAAAATGCTAGAAATTGTTTGCTCAAAAGCATTTGAAAAGGAAAAAAAAAGTACAGCAAAAATTATTTAGAACAGCATACAAAGTTGCCAAAAAAATCAGGGCTTCACTGATTTTGAATTTGAAATTGACCTCCAAGAGCTTAATGGTACTGACATGGGAAGAATAGTTCATTCTACAATCAGTCAAATATCTTCTTTAATAATTAATGTGCAAACAATTTTAGCCGAGATGGAACAACCAACGGATATATTTCTTGATGGCATAGAATTAGAAGACATAACAGCAAACAGTATATTTCAATCTTTGATGAGCCACCTGAGAAAGTTAGGTTTTGATGACAACTTCTTGGGTGAAAATCTGATTGCTTTTGTATGTAACAGTGCAGCAATAATGCTAGGTGCCAAGAATGGAGTGTTGATGTTACTTAAAAAAAATCCATCAATTTTAATTTGGCACTGTGCTAACCACAGACTTGAGCTATCTGTTGGAGAAACAATGAAAAAAGATTATGCAACATCGAACAATCAAGTCAAGTCTTTTATTGACAAACTGTGCTGTGTGTATATCATCACCAATCTTCAAAAAATACCAGAGAACTGAAAAGTTCAGCTGAACTTCTTGAGATGGAAATCTTAAAAATTGGGAGAGTTCTGACCACCTGCTGTGTTGCTTATAGTTTTAGAATCATGTCTGCTGTATGGAAAAATGTTGAAGCTCTTGTTAAAACTTTACAGAAGCTAAACAGGATGAAACCAGAGATAAATCTGATAAAAGAATGTAGGAAGGCCTGCTGAAAAAAATCACGAATGTTGACTTTCTTTTAGATCTCACTTTAATGTGTGATTTGTTACAAGAATTGTCTGAAATTAGCATTGAGCTACAAGCATGTGACATTAATATCTGCACTACATACAATAAATTAAAAAATGCAACATCAGGTGTTTGAAGACAGAAAATCTAACAGTGGATCCCACTACCGTGAAGCTCTCAAAGCAGCTGAAAATTTGAAATTCAGGGTTATCTCTATTGAAAAAAAAATACTGATCAAAAAGAGGGCATGAAAGCCTAAAACAGTGTATGGAAAGATGTCTTTTAATTGAGGAAGATAAAGAAATACAAGAATGGGCCAAAGTTTCAGACCCCCAATTTTGGCCTGAAAATGTTGACAAAAATTTAACACTTGGCGAGACTGAAATACAAAATTTATGTAAAAGATTCGGACTGGCAGAAAGGCAAATTTTGTGAGGATATCGCAACTATTTAACTAATCAGAAAATAGTAAACAGCATACCAATCTCTACCAGCGATTGTGAGCATGGATTCTTGCAAAGGAATTTAATTGCAAAACCGACAAGGGCTTCATTACTCATGAAAACTGTAGTTGCCCTAGTGTTTATCAAAGTGGTTAGCCTTCCATTGCGTGTGTTTCATCCTTTGCTGTATGTCAATTCCTGAAAGGCAGACAACTAGACACAGACAGCAAAAGCAACAAAAGGAGATGTGGAGATGGCAGCAAAAATGTGATGATGTTCATTTGGAAATTACTTTGATACCAAGTAATTTAAAATAAATTATTTCAAAATTGTCTGCTGATGTTTTTATTTTCTTTCATTAGAGTACCAGCAAACATGTTTTTAGAAAAAAAAGCATTGTATATATATATACTGTATATATATAACACACACACACAGTACTAGTGTGTGTTTGATAAGTGAAGGGTAATGAAGGTATGTATTACTACCTGGGAGACTTTTTTAAGGCATTTTAGCAAGATACTGGTAAGCTACACAGTATAACATATCATAATAATTCCTAAACTGTTATGTAGAACAGGACAGTCAAAACCTAGTAATTTGAAAATACAGGATGAAGACTTTAAAGCAAAAAATTTAATAAAAATAAATGAATCTGTTACTTATATGAAAGTCTGAACTTAAGGTTTAAAAATACAGATATCTAGCAATGTAAACTCATGATTTTGGTATCAAAGTACATATTTTAAATTTTGGAATTACAGGAACAAACTTGTGCTTAGACTAAACAATTTTTAGTTAAAAAAAATGTATTTTGAAAAAAAAAAATTTGGAAGTTGATTTATGACAATCTAAATACTGCATTATATGTATAGATATATGTTTATACATGCACAGATATATACATACATACATACATTTCTAAAGTGGTTGACAGTTGCATAGTTAACAAATTCAGGGACTAAAAATAATAACAACTTTGCTCCTATAGTTGATTCAAAGTACTTTTATTAAAATATTACCTACTTTGTGTTAAAAAACACTACAGTTTGGTATTAGATAGCATTCCATCTGGACAAAATTACAAAATTTCTAAGGTATTATTCACTTCTCATTACAATCTTCTAAAATGAATCATCTGACTATAATGGACATAGCATGTATGTCACTATCTATGTATGGCCAAAACTCCTGTACCATTTATTGAATGGCACTACAAACAAAAATCCATAAAAAATTTCACACTTTGGGTAATCGATATTCAGACAATTAGAAAAATAACTGATATATGCAACAACAATTTCTTTATAACAGAACACAATTTTAAATAAAAGTATTTTTTTCACAACAAGAACATGACTTTCACTAGAACTGTACATGAGGGTTTGATTATATATTTATTGATGTAATTTTGCAATGTAGTACTGAGAAACTGGAGTTCTTAAACAAACTATTATTTTTTCAATAAATGGTACTACTTTTAATATATAAAAAAACATTACAGATTATATGAGTAAAATTTATGAAAAATTCGAGCTCTGTATATTGAATCATTTTGATGCAATGAGTTGCATATGACTAAAGAGCACAATTAGAACAGTTTTCCCGAGCAGTACTTCCCAGAAAAAAAAATTATATTTTAGAAGATGTCGACTTTTTCTAAAAATTTTCAATGAGGTATGAATACTAAGATTAGTAATTACTAGCACAAACAGCTGTCCATAGGGCAGCATTTCTGCCATAGCAAAAACCTGCCATAGTTTATGTTTAAGGTACCTATTTTTCAGAAGTGCTAATACAAGCCCACAAAATTTATTAGTGAATAAAATAACTAAGCACCACATCTCATGCTGTTTGACATACAAATGTGTTACAGCCAATCTCATGGCAAGGAATTAAAAATTACTTGAGGTAAAGAATTTAAAGATGACGATAAAACTGGATACATTCGTAAAGATAATAAAAAAGGTAATGACATTTTCATGAACTTGTCATATCAGTAACAACTAAAAATTTTTTTTTACCTGAGATACTCTAACACTGATGATTATTTTATGCCATTAGTATGACAAATTCATAGATGTTACATTTACGCTTTGCCCTTATCTCTCAACTGAAGTTTGCTTTGACTCAGCAATCTCAACTCAGTCTTTTATGTTTACTGGTACAAGATTTGATCTACATTTATTAAATTTAAGATATAAAAACTGTAGCAATAACTATGCTTTCTGCACATTATTCAATGTCAATAAAGAAAAATACCTTCTTGCAGTATAACAAGAATAATAAAATTAAAACTTCCCTACTGTCTTAAACTTTGGCCATAAAAGTTATAAAACAAAATATATTTTAAACTTAATAATTAATAACAGATTTTTTTTTCTTCTTAAAAAGTTATAGATAAACATGTCACATCTATGATAACTTTTTAACACAGATTCAAAATGGAAGACTTAAAATCTGATAAGCACAGGATGTTTTGGATTTACATCACTGAAGTTCGGCATTTTCATATGCTGGATGGTTACGTACCAGATCTATCAGATCAGTGGGATTTACCTCATTTGTCCATATTTTATGAACAGCAGCAAACAAAGGAAATCTATAAACAATGATTTATAAATACAAAGTTAGTATTTAATAAGTTAACGATTGACACTTCAAAACAATGATTTATAAATACAAAGTTAGTATTTAATAAGTTAACGATTGACACTTCACTGAATATCAATTAAAAAGACTATTAAAATATAAAGAATTATCAAACGTCACCCAATACTGCAGAACTATTCATAAGGTAATCCAGCTTATAAATATTAATTTTAATCCTCAAAATATCTTGACACGCTTTTGTAAAAAGCTCAAGTCATTTGCAAGCTTAAGTTTTTGCATAGCAAATGTCTTAGAGTTTTTAGAAGGATTTTACACAACATGCTAAAAGCTTAACAGCAAAAGCTAAAAAGCATCTGCTATTCCTTATTAAATAGGATAGCTGTTAGTCCTTTTAAACTGTCTGTATAAAAAATACCTTAATCATCTAAATTAAACCCTCAATAAACTAAATCAATATTGTTTTTTTCTTGTATTCTGAACTCCACAAGTGAATTGTCATTTTCTAATTCAAAAACTTTCTTTGGTAATTTTGTCACTGTAGAACCTATAAATCCTGAATACAGCTACATTTTTTATCAAATTTACCTTAAGTACAAAAATATGAGCAAGATGTATTATGCCTTGAAGTAAATTAAAGGGAGTAAACTTTTCCATTATACAATAAAAGATTGTAAACTTATTTCAAATAATAGTCCTTTGTAAAAAAAACAAACAAATAATTAGCAAAAAGTGTTTGTTAATCTTTTAAATGAAAATTTCCCCACACTTTTGATTTGTAAATGGCTAAAGCATCAAATAGTTTGTAATCATCCACCATTTTTGTTGTATACTGTCTTTTCAACTCATTCACAATGCCTTGCTTTAACCCATGACTGCAGATTATTGTACATGGTACGGTCCGCCTCTGGCAGTTGAATGCAACCGTGCTGTATACAGTGTAAGGCTTGCAAAACTTCCATGTGAATTTAAAGAAGTCACATTTAATGGATAAATAGCTCCTGCTTAAAAATATATTTATTCATAACTCAAAAATAGCATGTATAATTTAAGCAATGACTCGAAGCCAGCTTACACATATGAAAAAATTTAATCTATAACTGGATATCACAGAATGTATCATGATACATCCTGACTCCACAAAAACATTAACGCATCTATAAATCTTTACGTAATTACAGTATGGCATTCACTTATGTCACCCTTATCTGCTTTTTTGATGTAACTGAGTCACAAAGTACTTTGAACAAAAATATCAGTGGCCATAACATATCATTATTAACTTGTATTAGTTACAGAAGAATTCATGGATTTTTTAAACCTTTATCTTACACACTACACTGAATTGTGTGTTAGAGGAACAAAAATAAGCAAAACATATATATTCATCATTAAAATAATAGCTGTGAGCATAAAAGTCAAGCTCACTAGCATCAGTATGAATGTAAACTTCCAGTTCCTGTCACAAGTAAACCAGCTATCTCTGGACTTTATTGTACTTTTTTTTAATATGTCACAATCTAACCATTAACAACTTTCTGGCTTTCTAAAGATCATCAAATAAAATGATAACCCTTATAATATTGTATGGAGGTTTGAGTACATTACATTCAATCGAAGTAGAATACACAAGTCAGCAAATCACTTGACAATTACAGTTGTTATATAAAGTCATAGAATGGCATATATCAGAACTATATTTTGAGACTGTTTGACATTACATAGATAGTGTGATGCCACCAAACACTGCTTTTGGGAAGGATGTTTATTAACAGTACTTTCTGTCACAAAATATTCATACACTCAAATCATAAAAATGCATTCAGTCCAGAATCTGCTGTGTACTTAATATCCTTGTAAAACACAGGAATATGGATCAACTTGGGGCATCAGAACTATTCACAAAGAAATGTGCACAACAAGTCACACCATAGCCATGATAAGCAAAGTGCAGAGTTTTGTAACAGGCAATAATCCACTGACAAAACCATAAAATGTGTCCCAGACAACAGTACACAATATAATCAAGAAGGATATCCATTTCTAAAATGACATAAGTCACTTGTATGCAAGTTACTCCTACAACAAATTCAGAAGAGAGGACAAATTGTATAAAACTGTATGAAAGACATTTAGGTGGGGGAAAATGGCAATATGGGGTGACACTCAACAAAGCATATGTGTACCTTAATAACTATAACAAGACTTGTGCTTTTTTTCAGTGGCCTAAGTGGGGAAAAAGTTTCTAAAAGATGGTACATTATATGTTTCAAACCCTTTTTGAATGGATTCATGATCATTGCTAGTTACTGTCCAAGGAGCAAGTTAGGGATCAGAAAAGTGGACACAAAAGTTAAGATGAATCATACCAATCTTTTGGACATTTTGAATTACACAGAAATTCCAGTTTTGCACAGAAATGAGACCAACAGGGCATGGGTTCAACAAGACAAGGTTTTCAGACATACCTCCTATTTAACTATGGTATACCTCAAGGAGCTAGAGAATGAAATGGGCATTCATGCTATTTTATAGGAAGACATACTGGTCAAGTTTCTGATGCAGATCCTATGGACTCCTGTGTAATCACACTGTTGAAATGGGCACTGAGAAACTCATTCTTGTACACTAGATTTATTATGGAAGGGCCTCAGGGAAGAGTGGTGTGCTTTTGACATGACATCCTTTACAATGGAAATTGGGCTGCAGAGGTACTGTCAAGATTCATAGTCATCAGACAAAGCATGTGTGGACATGGCAACATGAGCTATAACCCAATGACTTCTGGCTATTAACTTTCTGTGTAGCTAATGCAAGTCTTGCTATATTTCATTCCAACAATAAAACTAGTTGATGAAATTGTTTGAAACTTCATAAGAACTTTCATAAATGCACATAGTAAGAAACATAAAGCCTGTTACTTTTGATAAATTTAGTTTTTTTGCATTATGATCTTTAATATCTTTGAAAATTATATTATGAAATGGTATTTATAAGAAATGATTATGATATTTATATTTGTTCCAGATTTGAAGTTATTACTTTTTAAGTTTTAGTACATTATTTTAAAATCTCTAAAAACTTTTATCATCCATAAAATGCAAATTTTGTCTATTTTTAATTTTTTAATAATCACATACTCTCCTTATGGTTTCAAGTAATAATACAAGACCCGAAAATAATATTTCTAAGTAAACCTAAGTGATAAACAAGTATTCTTTTATTTTTAACTAGGATTTCGTGTTCATATATGTACATAAAAAACATATTAATTTTGTTTCATAAATGTATTTTTATTTCAAGTTTATATTTCATTACAGCCGTACTTTTGTTTATTGTGCAGAAAAAACCATGAGGTTAACAGCACGAACTTCATACATTTGCCGTAAACTATCATGCCGGTTGGTGGTCATTCTCGTTCACTCCAGTGCAGGCACATTTGAACATTACTGTAGATATGATAGTAAGAAAACTTTTCAGTACTTGAATATCATTTCTTTGAACTTTCAAACAAGTTTATTTCAACATATGTCTGTGTATGTTGTTTCACTATACAGACAAGACTAATTGCCACTATTATGTATGTAATAGTTTACAGTACAGGTGGTTTGAATAACACCGCCTGACCCTAGTTACATGATATATCCTGTTACAAGAGATTACCAAATGATACAGACACCATAAATTATAAAGAAAATTACTTTATAGCACTTAAAAGATTAGTCCTGGTCACATTCCTCTCATTACAGGCAAGATTTATGTTGGAATTTGAAACTTAAGCACTTCAGTGTATTGACACCCCAACTGCGAGAATGTCATAGCTTCCCCTGTATTATTGAGACGAATGTATTATGT